GACTTTTGAAGAAATTCAAACATGTTCACGGGTTCTTGAAGGCATGTGAGCCCTGGCCTACACCTTCTGGCTCCAGTGGAGATGTCAGCCATGGTGACACCCACCTCATGGTGACAGCACCCAGGCCCTGGGTTCCCGGACCCTGTCAGCTGGAGGCTGCTGTCCCTTGTCCCCCAGTGCTGCCCCTCTTTTTGTTTTTCACCCAGTCATTTCCAAGGTCACAGATCTGCTGTGGTTTGAGGCTTCTCGATATCTACTTTTATTGTCAGTTTTAGAAAAGCTTCTCAGGGAGAGAAGCCTAATCATATGTTATTTGAAAATAGAAAGTGCTGCGCAAATGCTAAGTCCAGTGTAATAATAGTGACGCCGAGTAATTCTGTTTTGAACAAGTTGAACTTGTTAAATCAGACAGATGCCATCTGCACTATTTAAAGCCCGTGCTAGCGATATGTCTTATGCAGAAACACTTATTGTAGGAAAATCGCTGAGTCCCCAAAAAAGCAAAGTGCTCTGGAGTTGGGCTCATGATACTTGACATGTCCTCTCAGGAATGGGATGACAGACTGGGCTCAGTGTTTTAGTCTGTAATCCCAGCACTTTGGGAGGCCGAGGCGAGTGGATTGCCTGAGCCCATGGGTTTGAGACCAGCCCTGGCAACTTGGCAAGACCTCATCTCTACAATAAATAAAAAATTAGCTGTGAGTGGTAGCGCGTGCCTGTAGTTCCGGCTACTTAGAAGGCTGAGGCGGAAGGATCGCCAGAGCCCAGTAGGTTGATGCTGGGGTGGCTGTGAGTGTGCCACTACATTCCAGCCTGGACAACAGAGTGAAACTCCAATGGAAAAAAAAAAAGGAATGAGATGACTGCTACCATTAGGGAGCAAAGACATTACAAGCATATATTGAGCACCTACTTTATGCTGAGTACATTCAGTCTCCTAGCTAATCCCCACAATTTACTCTGTTATTCAGGAGTTAAAACCTGAGTTCAGAGAGGTTAGATAACTTGCTCAAGATCACATAACCGTAGAGTTGGGATTTGAATCCAGGACCTCTGATGTCAAGGTCCTCCTTTCTAGAAAATCTCTGAACAGTATGGAGGATCACTGACACAGGGCTTGAAAATCAAGGGAATCCTTGGGTTTTTTTCCTACTCCCAAAAGAACAGCAGGAGAATGAGACCTTGGCCTTCAGCAAAAGGAACATGGCTGGAGAAGAGAACTTCCCGATAGCGGGGGTGTCTAGGAGAATCTGGACTCTCGTTTTCTGATGGATTCAAGCTGTTTCCCCCTAATTCTGAGGATGGTGATTGTACTGGTTTTCCAGGGTCGCCGTAAAAAATGACCACAGACAGGGGGATTTAAAACAGCAGAAGTGTCTTCCCACCCAGTGCTGCAGGCTGGAGGTCTGAAATCAAGATGTCAGTAGGGCTATGTTCCTCCCAGAGACTCCAGGGAAGAAATCCCTCCTGCCTCTTCCAGCTCCTGGTGGCTGCTGGCAGTGAGTGGTGTTCTTCAGCATGTAGACACATCACTTCCAACCCTGCCTCCACTGTCACATGGCCTTCTTCCCTGTGTGTGTTCCCTGGCCTTCTTTTTCTCTTTCTTTTATTTTTTGAGTCTGGGTCTCACTCTATTGACCAGCAGTGGTACAATCCCAGCTCACTGCAGCCTCTAATTCCTTGCCTCAGACGATCTCCTGCCTCAGCCTCCTGAGTAGCTGGGATTATAAGTGTGTGCCATCATGCCAAGCTAACTTCTTTGTTTTTTGTAGAGATAAGGTTTCCCTATTGCCTAGGCTAGTCTTGAATCCTTAGACTCAAGCAGTCCTCCCACCTCGGCCTCCCAACTTGCTGGAATTACAGGCATGAGTCACTGCACTCGGCTACATGGCCTTCTTATAAAGGTCCAGCCATTGGGTTTAGGGGCAGCCTGATCCAATATAACCTCCTCTTAACTAAGGACATCTGCAGAGACTCTTCCAAATAAGGTCACATTCTGAAGTCCCAGGTGAATGTGAATTTGGGGGGACTCTATTCGGCCCACATTGATGGAGCCCTGGGCATGAGGCCCATGCTGGGCAGTGCCAGCCTCCACATAGGAAAGCTGTTCCTGCCCTTGAGGACTCAGGACTCCATTCGGGGTTTCAGGTCAGCCACTTGCAACCACACCCCCTCGTGTGGGGGTTCAGAGAAGTGATCCAGCTCCTGCAGGGTGGTAGGAGAGGAGCCTCGAGGGAGTGGGCCTCTCAGGAAGGGTTGCAATGGGCTGGAGTTTGTTCCAGAATCACAGCTGGCCTGGCAGGGCCCCCTGGCTCATCTCTGACCTGAGTTGTTTGTACCCTGAGGTCTCTGGTAAGAAGTTAGGGGCCGGGCTCGGTGGCTCAGCCTGTAATCCCAGCACTTTGGGAGGCCGAGGTGAGTGGATTGCCTGAGCCCGCAGGTTCGAGACCTGCCTGGGCAACATGGCAAGACCTCGTCTCTACAATAAATCAAAAATTAGCTGGGCGGGGTAGCGCGCACCTGTAGTTCTGGCTACTTGGAAGACTGAAGCGGAAGGATCGCGGGAGCCCAGCAGGTCAAGGCTGCGGTGGCCGGGAGTGTGCCACTGCACTCCAGTCGGGGCGACAGAATGAGACTCCAACTCAAAAAAAAAAAAAAAAAAAGAGGAAATTTGGACACAGACTCACAGGGAGAAAGCCACGAGGAGCTGGGAGAGAGGCCAGGATGAACTCCACTTCAGAGTCTCAGAAGGACCCAGCCCTGCTGACACCTTACTTTCTGACTTCCAGCCGCCAGAGCTATGAGGGGATAAATGTGTGTTGTTTTATTTATTGTATTTTCCTTTTTATTTATTTGAGTTGGAGTTTCATGCTGTGGCCCAGGCTGGAGTGCAGTGGCACAATCACAGCGTACTACATACAGCCTTGGTCTCCCAGGCTCAGGTGATCCATCCACCTCAGCTTCCCAGGCATCTGGGACTACAGGTGTGTACCACCACATCTGGCTAATTTTTTGATTTTTTCGTAGAGACAAGGTCTCACTCCGCTGCCCAGGCTGGTCTCAAACTCCTGGGCTCAAGCAATCCTTTTGCCTTAGCCTCTCAAAGTGCTGTGTAATGGTCTGTTTTCTTTTAAGTTTGCAGTAATTTGTTACAGCAGCCCAAAGAAACAAGTGCAAGAGCTGTGCCAGTTTCCTCTTGAAAATTTGTTGTTTTTGTTAAAGTTGGCATTGGACATCGAACTAAAAAGAGTGAGAGTATGGACTGGGTCGTGTATGCTCACACGTGTCATGTGTGCGCATGCGTGTCCATGGGGGGCTTGTTCCTCTTTCCTGTAACCTCCATGCTCTGCTTTGTCCTTTGCTCACCTCCGTGTCTGCTCTGTCCCCTTCTGTCTCCTTCACTCACCCACTCTGCGGAGCCATCGCCCTTCCTCTCCTTAGGGAAAGCAGGGAGAGAGAGGAAGGTGTTGAGAGGGCCTGTGGCCGCCGAGAGGGGTGCCTTCTCTGTGGGCAGCGCTCCCAGCCCAGAGGAGGAGGCAGGGTGATGTTTGTAGACCCGAGTGGAGCCCAGGCTGAAAAATCCTTCATTTGATGACCATTGTGTGCAGCAATAGAGTCCCAGTACCTTTAAGGGGATAAATGGAGCTTCAGCTGACCTGCAGAGCCAGGGGGTGAAGTGAGAATCAAAGGAGCCGGGCTCAGTGGCTCAGCCTGTCATCCTGCACCTTTGGGAGGCTGAGGTGAGTGGATTGCCTGAGCCCGCGGGTTCGAGACCCACCTGGGCAGCGAGACCTCATCTCTACAATAAATAAAAAACTAGCCGGGTGTGGTAGCGCACGCCTGTAGTTCCGGCTACTTGGAAGGCTGAGGCGGAGGGATCGCCGGAGCCCAGCAGGTGGAGGCTGCCGTGGCTGGTGGCGGGGAGTGGCCACGGCACTCCAGTCTGGGTGACAGAGTGAGACTCCAACTCAAAAAAAAAAAAAAAAGAGAATCAAAGGAAACGGAATTAATGTGTTCACAAAAGGCCAGCCACTCTCTGGTGAAAGGCCCCAGGGCTGTCCTTGCAGACAGGTCTACCAGGGGAGTGAAATCCATCTCAATAGAAGGCTTTGCAATGAGATAAATATGGCACTTGATGTCTAATATACTTCCCCAAGAGTTGAGGGGTAATCAACACAAGGGAATAAGTTTCCTCAAAACAAAAGCAACATCAGTATTGATGGCGAGGCGGAGGGCCGTGATGGCAGCGGTAGTCACCCCGTTTAAGATCCTGGGCAGGATTTGTTTTCAGGGAGCTAGTGATAATTTACTCGAGTTTTAATACTTGGCAAGTTCCCAGGCTTCTGTAGGTGGAATTTATTTTGGCACAATGTAGCTTTGGGAGGAAACAGAAACAGACTCAGGGTGACTAGCCGTGCCTGGGAAGACGGCCTCTGTCACCTGGGAAGCTCCTGGAAGGGTCCTGTCCAGGCTCTGGAATGGAATTCCTCTGCCTGTGTCAGCCCTAGGCATTGCCCTTCAACACACGTGCAGCACTCGTGCAGACATGCCTGGTCCATGCAGATACGAGCCCATGCGCAGACACACCTAACACATGCAGATGTGGGCACACGTGAGATAGGAACACGTGCAGATATGGGAACTTGTGCAGACATGGGCACAAACCTTAGCTATGAGAACATGTGCAGATATGGACACATGTGCAGCTATGGGCATACATGTTAGATATGAGAACATGTGCATAATGGGCACACGTACCCTCATGCCTACCACATGCAGATGTGGGCTTTCCCCTATGTATGTGCCACATGTGCCTTGGATGGGGCAGGTGGCCAGCTCCGTCTCCCCACCCGGCTTTGCTCCTCCCCAGCGGGTCCCCTGGGAGTTCCCGTGCCTGGAGCCCTGCAGATCCTGCCGCCTTTGCCCACTGGTCTTCCTGCGGGGCCCTCCCAGGCACCCAGGGGACGTCCAAGGCTCACCTGTGGCTCCTCCTCGTCTAGGCTGTCCCCAGGGGCCGGCCTCATGGAGCGAATCCAGGCCATTGCCCAGAACGTCTCTGACATCGCGGTGAAGGTGGACCAGATCCTGCGCCACAGCTTGCTCCTGCACAGCAAGGGTGGGTGCTGGGGGCGCCCTGGCCCAGGTTGCCCTCTATCCTTCGAGACCCCGATGTTCTGCATCTCAGGCGGGGGCCTTGGGAAGGTGGGACACCTGGGGTGGGCCCTGACTTCTCCTGACAGCCACCCTCCTGGCTTCAGGCTTTTCTCAGGGGACTCGGGGTTCACTGCATCCACTTGGCAGGAGGGTGATAAGAACAGAGGAGGCCCCTGGAGTCTTGGCCACTGGGGTCGACAGTTCCAAGAGTGAGGCACCTGGAGAAGGGTCCCCGGGTGGCCCCCTCTGGTCCCCGTGATGTGGGAGGAACAGACTGGTATCAGCAAGCCTCGTCTCTGCCTTCCTCGGAAAATGTCGGGCATGAGTTTGGGTGGGTGCGTGAGGCCCTGCCTATCCAGGGAGCCACTCCATGGCTGTTGACACCAGCTCCTCACTGAACTCTCCAGGGAGGCTGGGGGCATGGAAGGGGACAAACCAGACCTGGGGAACGCCCTTGGGGCCAGTGGCCTTTCAGGTGGGAACACTCAGGCTGCAGGTTGTGTGGGCCACTGCCCTACTCAACCCAGGCCCACCCACTCCTCCTGCCTCTCTCCCTGGGCTCCTCCTGGTCCCAGGTCCTCAACAAGTCAACCTCTCCCAACAGTGTCCGAAGGCCGGCGGGACCAATGTGAGGCACCCAGTGATCCCAAGTTCCCCGACTGCTCCGGGAAGGTAGAGGTGAGGCTGGGGCTGAGGGGTCAGGGGAGCAGGTGGTGGTGGGGGCGGTTCTTATGTGGGTCTGTGTCCCAATTAGCACATCCTGGCTGGGATGTCCACTTGTGAGGGCCTCTCTACCCTGCCCTGGACCCCGACACTAGCTGACAGAGGCCAAGCTCAGGGACGTGGCTTCTCTGCTCAGTCCATCCACCCAACCCCACCCAAATTCCCCAGGAGTCCTACTCAGGATCATTGATGCTTTCTCATAGCAAGTGATTAAGTATACTCGTGCCACCACCAACAGCCCAGTTCCCCACAAACTCAGAAACGACCCTCCGCTCTGTCCCTCCTGCCACCTACCGCCTCCTGGACTGAGAGCCCACCTGCTCGCCCCACGCCAGGGCCACCTTGGCTGCAGGAAGTCTGTCCCCACAGGAGACAGTCCACAGCTGTAAAGCCTACTCCTCACTGGTCCCAAACCCCCCAAGGGATGGGTGGTGGCACCGAGGACCCCTTCCTCAGTGGCCACCTGGGGAGCACTGTGGGTATGTCCCGTGCTGGCCCCAGCCCTTGCCCCCTTGGAGGTTGCTCCCTGGCCTTGGCCTCTAGGTGAACCCTGCTCTGGGGTGGGGACATGGGGAATGAAGGAAGAGGGAGACAGCCAGGCCCCCACTGCTGTACTTCCGGCTCCTCACCCCGGAGCTTTGAGCTGGCCTGATCCCCAGTTCCGCCTCTTTCTGGACCCGGGGGATGGTGGCTCTGCCATTGCCTTCTCTGGGGGTCCTTGGGGGCCAGGGCAGAAGCCAGAGTCCTTGTTCAGTTTCTCTTCTCTGTCCTATCCCTTGCTGTATCTTTAGGGCAGCTGCACAAGCCCGTCCTGGGGGTCCTCAGGGCCCTGGGGATATGCATGCTGGGGGGAGCCCACTAAGGGCAGGTGGGCCAGCGCTGGCCCCCTGCCCAGCCTGGCCCTCTCCGCAGTGGATGCGTGCCCGTTGGACCTCTGACCCCTGTTACGCCTTCTTCGGGGTGGATGGCACCGAGTGCTCCTTCCTCATCTACCTCAGTGAAGTCGAGTGGTTCTGTCCCCCGCTGCCCTGGAGGAACCAGACAGCTGCCCAGACAGCGCCCAAGCCCCTCCCCAAAGTCCAGGTAGGCCTGGGGGGTGGGTGGGCCAGTGTGGCTGCACGTCCCCAGGGACAGCAGGAAGAAGCCTCCATCCTGGGGGGAATGAGGCTGACCCAGGCTGCAGGTCCCAGCCCACCCTGTTGGCAGATGGGAGGCCGGCCTAACAGTGCCTGTCCTGAAGATGCCACCAAGCTAGGCCTCCTTGCAGGGCAGGCTGGGACCCTGGAGGCGCCCCCTTAATGGACTAGAATGATAGTAATAATAACTGTCACTTGTTGAGGGCTTTCTGTGTGGCAGACACTTTGCTTGTATTCAAAGCTCCCAACCAACCTCCTGTGATCGTGCTTAGCAGATGATGAATCTGAGGTTTAGAGAGTTAATGGGTTCAAGGCACACAGTTACTGTGGCAGCCACCTCCATCCCTGCTGTGGGAGCCCTGGCTCTGATCACCACCCTGGCTGCCTCCTGGTGTTGGCCGGGCTCCTGGGAAGCTGCCACAGCTGGACACCTCCCAGGAAGGGCTCAGGGCAGGGGATTAGTCAGAGCTGGGCTGGAAGGGGTGGGCGTTGGGGGCTGAGGGCAGGGCCCTTTGATCTGGGGGGCTAGTGGGCCCCTTGGAAAGTTTAGGAGAAGCTGGAGCAGGTCCCAGCCTCATGAGAGGATGCCAGCTTCTGAGCCCAGGCCAGTGGAGGACCACAGCGGCTGTGGGTCTGGGGGCTGAAAGGCTGAGGTCTGGACCCCTCCAGGCAGTTTTCCGGAGCAACCTGTCCCACCTGCTGGAGCTGATGGGTAGCGGGAAGGAGTCCCTGATCTTTATGAAGAAACGGACCAAGCGGCTCACGGCTCAGTGGGCATTGGCTGCCCAGCGTCTGGCGCAGAAGCTAGGGGACATCTGGAGGGACCAGAAACAGGTACATGGCCTTTCCTGCATGTTCAGGAAGCTGAACTCAGAGCTCAGAACCCGGCAGCTTCCACGTGGGTGCAGGGTAGGCCTTCACACAAGCAATATTGGGTTTCTTCTGTTCATAATTTGACCCAGAGAGGGCGGGGGATGGATAGGGCAGTCAGGATAGATGCCTGTGGTGGTTTCTGGCCCTTTTCAAGGGTGGGGGAGAATGACAAGTCCCCCAAAGGGGTCCTGCATCTTGTGAACATCTGGTTCTTGTCAGGCAGGAAAGTCATGGCATCTGCCTGGAAGGCTGGGAATAATGTAACCTTTTTGGAGGGAAGTTTGTTGCCTCATTCACCCTTCCTCCCTCCCTTCCTTTCTTCCTTTCATTTATCCATCCATCCATTCATCCACTCATCTATTCATCCCTCCCTTCTTCCCTCCTTACATGACTCACATCCACCCTTTTATTTATTTCAGAGTCCTTATCATTTCATGAAATTACCTCGTGTCTGTGTTCACTGTCGTCTGCCTTTTCCGCCTGGGACATAAGCTCCATGAGGGCAGGCATGCGACTGTCTTGTTCACCTATGTCCCCAGTGCCTGGCATGGTTACTCAGCTGCCGGAAAGTGCCAGCCCACGCCCTGCCTGGATTCAGTGATCACTGCTGGCCGGCTTCCCGGCCAGTGCCCCAAAGGAGCAGGACTGAGATCTGCCGCTCCTCTGAGCTGACCCTCTGTGTCCCCCCAGATTCTGGTCCACATCGGCTTCCTGACAGAGGAGTCTGGGGATGTGTTCAGTCCACGGGTCCTGAAAGGTGGACCCCTGGGGGAGATGGTGCAGTGGGCAGACATCCTGGCTGCGCTGTATGTCCTGGGCCATGGGCTGCGTGTCACGGTCTCCCTGAAGGAGCTACAGAGGTGAGTGCTGGGGAAAGCAAGCTGGGGGCAGGGAGGGGTTGAAGGGGAATGGTCCCCTGCAGGTCCCACGACTCCGGGCCCTGGGAGACCTTCTGGTGTTCTGTGGGATGTTGCCATTCCTAACCCCCTCCTCTGTTCTGTCTGTCTCCCACGGGCTGCTCCACGCTGGTGCCCGGTTGTGTTTGAGATGCACCAAGGAGGAAGCAGAGATGCATAGCGCTGTCCAGCCAGGTCCCATCTCCATCTCTGGTGTTGCCGCTTGGGGTGGATGCATACTGGCTTATGGGACTGAGCCACATCATTCACGTGGGGGCCCCCTGCCCGCCTTCCTTGTGGGCTTGGTTTCTCTTCTGAAACTGGTCTACTTCCTGGGTCTATTCTGGGATCTGGGGACCAGTAGGACATGGATGGTGGCAGGGGAGGGGGGAGGATGGGTAGGGGGTGCCTGCCCTTCCCTAGTGCTGGGCTTTCCAGGGTTCCTCTAATGCTGTTGGAGGTGGAAGGGTGGTGATTAGGCCTCTCCTGGATGCTTGGGGGGAGGACGGTGCTAAGACTGAGTGTCGAGTGGGTAGGAATATGGTGTGTGAGTGTGTGAGATTGGGGTTTTTTAAATCTGAAGTTTTACTTTATCGCCCAGGCTGGAGGGTGGTGGCATGCTCCCGGCCACCACACCCTCAACCTGCTGGGCTCAGGTGATCCTTCCACCTCAGCCCAAGTAGCCGGAACTATAGGCACACGCTACCACACCCGGCTAATTTTCTGATTTATTGTAGAGATGAGATCTCACCAATTTGCTCAGGCTGTTCTCGAACCTGTGGGCACAGGCAATCCTCCCACCTCAACCTCCCAAAGTGCTGGGATTACAGGCTTGAGCCACTGCGCCTGGCCGAGATTGGGTTTATTTTTAACAACTGTATTGGTGGAATGTAGAAATATATTTGCTCATTAAGTGATATTTGATACATATAAAAATATGTGTGGTGGCTTATGCCTATAATCCAGCACTTTAGGGGGGTGGGAGGATTGCTTGAGGCCAAAAAGTTGAGACCAGCCTGGTCAACATAGTGAGAGTCCATCTCTACAAAACGTTTAAAAATTAACTGGGCATAGTGGCACCTGTCTGTAGTCCTAGCTACTTGGGAGGCTGACGCAGGAGGATCTGTTGAGCCCAGGAGTTCAAGGTTGCGTGAGCTATGATCACGCCACTGCACTCCAGCCTGGGTGGCGGTGAGACCCTGTCTCTAAATAAATAAATAGGTAAAAATATATGTGAACCGTTTAATGATCAGGAATAACCGGACATGGTGGCTCAAGTCTGTAATCCCAGCACTTTGGGAGGCCTAGGTGAAAGGATTGCCTGAGCTCAGAGATTCGAGACCAGCCTGGGCAACTTGGTGAAACCTCGTCTCTACAATAACCGGGCTTGGTAGTGCATTCTTGTAGTTCCAGCTACTTGGAAGGTTGAGATGGAAGAATTGCCTGAACCCAGCAGGTCGAGGCTGCGGTGGCCGTGAGTGTGCCACTGCACTCCAGCCTGGGCAACAGAGTGAGACTCCAACTCAAAAAAAAAAAAAAGATCAGGAATATCATCAAGGATCCTGTGTCCACCTGGGTGTTCCCTCTGCCACCTTCCCAGAGAAAAACATAACTTGAATTTTGTGTATATAATTCCTCTTTTAAAAAATATAGTTTTCCCATACTTGTGTGCCCATAGACAATATATGGTTTACTTTTGTTTTGTTTTGCTTTTGAGCTTTAAAAAAAATGGCGTCTACTGTATGCAGTCTCCAGACTTGCCTTTTTCAAATTCATTCTGTTTCAAAGACTCATCCATGCTGTTGCATGTATCTGTATTTTATTCATTTTCACTGCTGTATAATATTCCATTGTGTGAGTGAGCCATTATTATTTATCAATTTTTCCTGTCTGTGGATATTTTTTCCTGTTTTTAAAAATGATTTTGGTTTGAGTGCAGTATAATCCTAGCACTTTGGGAGACTGAGACAGGAGGATTGCTTGAGCCCAGGAGTTTGAGACCAGCCGAGTAACATAGCCAGATCTCGTTTCTAAAAAAAAAAAAAAAAAAAAATCAAAATATTAGCTGGGTTTGGTGGTATGTGCCCTGTAGTCCTAGCTACTTGGGAGGCTGAGGCAGGAGGATCACTTGAGCCCAGGAATTTGAGGCTGGGGTGAGCTGTGATTGTGCCACTGTATTCCAGCCTGGGTGACAGAGGGAGACTCTAACTCAAAATAATACAAATAAAATAATTTTTAAAAAAGGTAAAAATGATTTTGAACAATGCTGTGGTGGACATTTTTGTACTTGTCACCTGGCGCACCTATGTAAGTTTCTCCGTGTATAGACTTAGGTACACAATCCAACTTTACAATATAATGCAAATTCAGCTTTACAAGATAATGCCAGGTTGTTTTCCAAAGTGATTGCTCCAATTCACAGTTCTACACTCCCACATTCTCACCTATATTTAAGGCTGTCAGACATCCTAAGTGAGAGTGTAACATGGCATCATGGTATCTTCTTATGGTCTTGCATTTCCTGATGACTGATGGGGCTGAGCATTTTGTCATGTTTATTTATTTCTTCTTTATTTTTATTTTTTGAGTTGGGTTTCATTCTGTTGCCCAGGCTAGAGTGCAGTGGCACGATCACAGCTCACTGAATCCTGAAACTCCTGGGCTCAAGTAACCCAACCTCCTCAGTCTCACGAGTAGCTAGGACTATCGGCATATGCCACCACACAGTCAATTTTTTGATTTTTTTGTTTTGTTTTGTAGAGATGAGGTCTGGCTATATTGCCCAGGCTGGTCTCGAACTCTTGGGCCCAAGCAATCCTCCTCCCTCAGCCTCTCAAGGTGGTGGGATTACAGGTGTGAGCCACCACTCCCGGCTTGGTTCTTTTTTCTTGATGAGATGCCCATGTATGTCCTTTGCCCATCTTCCTGCTGGATTATTTATCATTTCTGTATTGAGTTGTAAGAGCTCTTTATATATTGTGGATATAAATTCTGTGTGTGTTTATGTGTTTAAAAAGCTTCTTCTAATTTGTTTCTTGCATTTTCAATCTCTTTATAGTTTTTTTTTTGAAAAACAGATGTTTATAATTTAAATATAGCCAAATTCATCAATCCTTTTATGATTAGCAATTTTATCTTTGGTGGAATGCTATTCCTCTTTTTCATTGGCCTTAAAAGTGTTTAATTGGTCCATCATATTGGCGCATATTTATGGAGTACATGGAATATTTTGTTATGTGAATGGAACCTGTAATGATCAAGTCAGGGATTTAGGATATCCATCACCTTGAGCATTTGTCATTTCTATGTATTGGAAGCATTTTAAGTTCTCCCTTCTAGCTATTTTGAAGTGCACATTGTTGTTATCTAGTCACCCTACTCTGCTAACATAGAACTTTTTCCTTCTATCTAACTTTGTATTCATTAACCAACCTCTCTTCATGGGGTGGGGGGTACACATATACGTTTGGTGAGATTGTTTCTCAGGGGATAATAAGGAAGGCCCCAGACTTGTTTGCATGTGAATCAACTTTTCTCCATCAGCCCATTAATTTATTCTCAGGTGGTTTTCAAGTGAAAATGTGAACGCCCCCTCCAGAACCTGTCCATTGTCTTGCTGTCCACTGTCTTGATTCTAGACAGCTCTCTCTATTTCTGATCGCATTTGCTCCTGGCCACCAATGCTGATGCTCTCTGACTTGAGAGTGTTGGAGAGAGGAGGATACTGATGGGGCTGGAGCCATTGACAATCTTAGGTCACTGAGGCCCAGTAAGCACCAGTCTTGGGCAGTTAGCCCCTGCAACTCAGAGGCTGCTAGTAATTCAGGTAGAACGTCCCTGGCCCCGATCAAAGGGATGAACCTTGCCCGGTTGTGTTGAACAGGGGGAGAAAGAGGCTGTGCCTGGTTTGTGTTGCTTAGAAGACTTTTTGGTTTAAAGGTTTTCATCCTCTTCACACCACTGGAGTCATTGTTTTAGGCTGAATGCACTTGTCTCCAAAGGGCTCAGTAAAGAAGAAACTGTGTCTCCAGAGAGGAGCAGCACACGTAAGACTGGAGATAGAGCAGGAGGAGGTTGGTGACAGGGACTAATGAGGGCTGCACGCTGTGGCAGTGTTGGGAAGCACAGCTTAGGTGGGAGCGGGCTCGGAGGAGGAGGTGCCCACCTTGAAATAGTAAGTCACACAGTTTAAGGAACCAACCTCGGAGCTGTCCCCGATTGCTGGTGCTGAATCTACGGACAAGCACCAGAGGGAACAGCGCGTCCCTCACTCTGGCTCTCACCCTGGTGACATTTTGCTGTCAGAGATCCAGCTGTTCGAACTGTGCAGGCCACTTCAGAGCCCAGGTGTGCCCACTGCCTGCCAGCACCCACTGCTGCACACCACACTGTGCCCACCCCATGCTGTGCCCTCCCTGCTCCCTCTGAACTGAGCTCAGGAGATGCACCAATGCTGTCTGCGGAGCAGAATGTTGCAGAGGCAGCTAACATTTGCAAATGATGAAAAGAGGCAATCTCTCCCTGGCTTGGAAGCTTCCTACAGGAAAGTCAGATGGGGCGGTGATGAGGAGGAGGAAGAGGATAAGAGACCCAGGTTGGGCGAAGCTGAAGAGGTCTTGAGCAACTTGTGGGTGGCACAGCTGGTGGCTGTGGCTAACCAGGGGCCAGTCCTGCCTTGGCAGAGCAGCGAGCAAAGGTCTAGGGGCCCTTGACTTCTGCAGCATCAGAGACCCTGAGATGTAGTGGGAAGAGCTCTGGGATGCGGGCTATCCAGAGTCCCTCATCCCAGGCTCTGCTACACACAAAGTCTCTTGTTTTGTCAGAATCACTGACACCTTGCCCCACCATGAGGCCAGATGAAGTCACATTTATCAAACAGTTCTCAACTCAGATCCTCCCTTCTGACTGTGCAAGGCCTGGGGCCAGAGACGGGGGAGCGTCCTCCCTGTACTGCTCCCTCAGGA